TCCTCTCCAACATGTGTTGTTTCCTGTCTTGTTAATTTTCACCATTCTCACTGGTGTGAGGTGGTATCTCATGGTGGTTTTGATTTGTATTTCCCTAATGCCAAGTGATGCAGAGCATTTTTTCATGTTAGCCAAAGCAATCTTGAGAAAGAAAAAACAAAGCTGGATGTATCACAATTCTAGATTTCAAGAATATACTACAAAGCTATGGTAATCAAAACAGTATAGTACCGCCACAAAAAGAGACACATAGATCAATGGAACAGAATAGAGCCCAGAAATAAACTCACACTTATATGGTCAATTAACATATGACAAAGGAGGAAAGAATATACAATGAGGAAAAGAAGGCCTCTTCAATAAATGGTGCCAGGGAAACTGGACAGCTACATGCAAAAGAATGAAATTGGACCACTTTCTAACACCATACACAAAAATAAACTCAAAATGGCTTAAAGACCTAAATATGAGACCTGAAATTGTAAAAATCTTAGAAGAGAATGGTGATAATAATTTCTCTGACATCAGTTGTAACAACATTTTTCTAGCTATGTCTAGAAAGGCAAGGGAAACAAAAGCAAAAATAAGCTATTAGGACTACATCAAAATAAAATGCTTTTGCACAATGAAGGAAACCATCAATAAAATAAAAAGGCAACCTACTGAATGAGACAGGATATTTCCAAATTATATGACCAATAAGGGGTTAATATCCAAAATATATTAAGAATTTAATATACAACTCAACACCATAAAAACAACCCAATTAAAAAGTGAGTAGAGGACCTAAATAGACATTTTCCAAAGAAGACATCCAGATGGCCAACAGACACATGAAAAGGCGCTCAACATCACTAATCATCAGGGAAATGCAAATCAAAACCTCAATGAAATATTACCTTAGATCTGTGAGAATGGTTAAAATAAAAAAGACAAGAAATAACAAGTGTTGGCAAGGATTTGGAAGAAAAGGAACCCTCATACACTGTTGGTGGAAATGCAAATTGGCACAGCCACTGTGGAAGAGTATGAAGGTTCCTCACAAACTTAAAAATAGAATTACCGTAAGATCCAATAATTCCACTACTGAGCATTTACCCAAAGAAGACAAAAGCATTAATTTGAAAGGATATATGCACCCCTATGTTTATGGCAGCATTATTTACAATAGTCAAGATACAGAAGCAACCTGAGTCCATTGATAGATGAATAGATAAGGAAGATGTGGCACATGCGCGCGCGCACGCACACACACACACGGGTATTATGCAGCCATAAAAAGGATGAGACTGTGCAATTTGTGACATGGATGGACCTAGAGGGTATTATACTAAAATAAGCCAGACTGAGAAAGACAAATACTGCATGATTTCACTCAAATGTGGAATCTAAAAATAATGAAACAAATAAGCAGAATCAGCCCCATAAACACAGAGAACAAATGATTCTAATGATTTAGAATTGTTCTAATGAACAAACTAATGATTGCCGAAGAGTGTGGGAGATAGGCAAAATGGGCAAAAGGAGAGGAAGATACAGATTTTCAGTTATGAAATGAAAAAATCACGGAAATAAAAGGCATGGCATAAAGAATGTATTCAATGATATTATAAATAACAATGTATGGGGATAGATGGTAGCTATACTTGTGGCGAGCATAGTATAGTGTTTAAACTTGTCAAATCACTATCCTGTATCCCTGCAACTAATATAACATTGGGTGTCACCCACACTCAAATAATAAAAAAACAATAAGGTAAAAAATAAAAGAAGAAAGAGTGAAAGGGAAAGAGGGAGGGAGAGAGTGAAAATGGGAGAGAGGAGACAAGGTTTAGAAAGAAAGGGATAAATAGTGATGTGAGAGATTAGATGTCTACATAATTCTTTTTCCTATGTAGTTCTCATCCAGTTCACTTTGGAATATCATAACTTTGCCGATAAAACCAATTACATGAGGTTAACTCGTGTTAACTATTTCTTTCTACAGTTTACAGAACACATTCATTCAATCACTGGTGATCACATCTAAGAATGGGTCCTTGTTAATTACAACACCTTAGCAGATTACTGCACTACAATATAAATGAAAGGTTGTGCTCGCACATATCAGGATAACAAAAATGAAAAACAGTTCTATCATTTAACTCAAAGAACTTGCAGGCCAAGTCCCAGTACCTTCTCTCATTGAGCTAATTCCAATGGCCTCAGACATTTTACCCCTGCAGTTAAGAAAAGTGTCCTTAAAGTTAGGCAATTTCTGCCACTTACAAATTCTGTGACCTTGGGAAAATTAACTACCTTTGTGTTTCAGCTTCCTCATCTATAAAATGGGGGACATGGTAGCACCTAATTACTGAAGAATGAATGAGGCACTCAGTGGCACACAGCAAGGTTTTTTTTAAAGATTTTATTTATTTATTCATGAGAGAGAGAGAGAAAGAGAGAGAGAGGCAGAGACACAGGCAGAGAGAGAAGCAGGTTCCATGCAGGGAGCCTGATGTGGGACTCGATCCCGAGACTCCAGGACCACGCCCTGGGCTGAAGGCAGGCACTAAACCGCTGAGCCAACCAGGGATCCCCACAGCAAGGCTTTTTTTATGTATCAGCTCTTAATATATGCATGTGCTAATCCCGTATCCAAAAATTGCTTTTTCTTCTTTCCAAGATTTTATATCCAAATGCAAACGAAACTTGAGACAATGCCTGAGATGGAAGAGGTCAGCTATAAAGGATCAAATTATCCCAGAAATATACAAGCCAGCAGAAAATACCATGGTTGGCAGGTCAGGAGGGAAAGAGGTTATTGTGTAATGGATGCAGTGCAGCAAAGTGGTTGAAAGTTTAGGTTTTTGGGATGACAATCATAAGGCATGGAGTGTCAGCTTTTCTTATTACTGTAGCAGGACTTTAAGCAAGTTACTTAACCAGTTTCTTCATCTGAAAACATGTACTGGTGCAGTAAAACAATTCCTCTTTTGTGAGGATTATACTAGATACTTTTTAAAATGTGCTTAGTGTGTCAATATGTGGTAGCTTAAATATTTTGAGTTCCAGCAATATATTCACACTGCCATTTACTGGGAAGGATAAAAATAAATATATGACGGTATGAGCCAGGCTCCTAAATTCTTACAGGCCAATTGGGGAGGCCATACAAATGGATAATGTACAGTGGCAGACAATCTATATTTGAATTTTCAAATTCCTCGTTAAGATGACGTTTCTCTTTTTCCTGTTTCTTTATCCCCCACCATTCGTTTTCTCATCTATCTTGTATATAAAAATTCATGAAAGTTTTCCATCCTGAGTTGGGCTAATTAAAATGAAATATTTTATTGTGAAGAGAAGAAAAAAGCAAACATATACAATTTCTCATGACTTGCCTCCACCTTGTCTAAATTTATCTCTTATTAGCAGGAAAATATATTTGTTATAGAATAGAATTTTATGGCCAAGGAAGAGATTCATTTTAATTTTGTTCTGAGTAACCAAAGGAGAAAAACAAATGAGGCAGAGTAGAAGGTGGCCCTGGACAGGAAGTAATCCTGACAGATGCTGAAATAAAGAGGGGACGGGATGAACTAAAAGGCTTGGAATATCTCAAATATGTAGGCTGAAATATGTGTTGGTAATAGGGTATTGCCTGTGATTCTATACTTACAAACATTTAAAAAATACCCACAACTGTTTTTCATTAAAAACAGAAAAATTAGTTATGTTAAAGAAAAAAGTGTAATACATCTCTTTCACCAAAAGTTCTTGCCTGGAGACTTAAATTAGCTGTTTAGCCTCAGTTTCCTTTCATCAAAGGAAAGAATTGGGGAACCCACCAACTTGTAGAGTTTAAAAAGATGGTGCTCAAGTGCCACCACAGCTGTGTTCTGCTATCAGCCTTAGGGCTCCGGAGACCTCAACTTAAACTCCTCCTTATTTAGATTCTAGTGGCTTGTTGGTACAGAGCCAATTGGAGTGTAGCCTGCACTAGGTTGCTGAGACCATGTCAAGTGAAGAGAGACAATTTTCCACCAGGGAAAGCAGCAAGTGAATAGATGGTTCATGGCAGTGTGTTCTTATCCCAGAAAACATTAGGGGGTAACTACATGAGAGCAATAGAGATATTCTGCAGAAAAACATGAAACTGGAAATCATTAGACAATGATGTCTATCATTGAAGAGCCAAGAGTCTGCGGCCATACCCCCCTGGACACTCCTGTAGTCATCTGATCTCAGACACTAAGCAGAAAAGGGCCTGGTTAGTGCTTGGGTGGAAGAGCAAGAGAAAGAGAGCTAGCACATGGGCCTCTGGAGAAAAAAGTGGTTTCTCTATTGAAAGCACATTGAGAATTAATAACCCCTGCTTTACAATCTTGGCATTAAATGACATTTCCAAGTTTATTTCTTAAAATGAGCGCATGTTCTTTGGTTTTGTATTTCTGTACATCATTTTTCATTGGGGGTCAAAGGATAGAAAGAATGAATGGGGAAAATTCAAAGGTATCAAGAGAATCAATTTGATCCACTGATTTAAAGGGTGTCATGCAAAAGGAGGTGGATGCTTCTGACTCACCCAGAGTTCAAAACGCAGCTCCATTTGAACTCATGACCCAGGCTGTTTCATCACTGTGGGCACCTGCTGTTGATGTCTACAATGTTGGTGAGCCTCAGGTCAAAAAATGCCACCCACCCAAAAGGCAATTTTGATAGCAGCTACTGATAGTCAATTCAGTTTAATGATCTCCAGCTTATATTTTCTAAATCCAAAAACTCTGCTGGTAAGTTATCATTGTTTAACTGTCATTATTCAAAATGCTAGTGGGAATGTTACCACTCTTAACCTCTGGGTAAAATGTTTTTGGTTTTTGGTTTTTTGTTTGTTTGTTTGTTTTTGCAATCTCACCATCATTTTAATTTAGTTTACATTTCTAGTCATTTGCACAGATGTTGATGGAGCTGTATTTTTGCTTCAATGTCTATTGCAATATTCTTATTGCATTCTGCAGGTCCTCCAGTAAACGTTACTTGCAATATTTTTATCAACAGTTTTGGATCGGTCACAGAAACCACCATGGTAAGTGCTACAATGCCACTGGCAACAGAAAAACGTGACTTGATTATGCCATGAACACAACCTGTCAAATTTTCTATTTATTGTTCAACTTGCAGGGCCTCCTGTAAATGTTACCTGCAACATATTTATCAACAGCTTTGGGTCAATAGCAGAAACTACAATGGTGAGTGGGACTGAGCATTGAAGCCATCGTGTGAAGGAATGGGATGTGGGATCGAGAAAGCACTGTTTTATATTTATAGTGGGACACTTACTGAATGCCAATTTCCAAGTTTACTTACCCCTAGGAAGCAATTATTTATACACTTTCACTTCAGAAAGTCATTCGTCAAGTGTTCATTACTTAAAATTCAACAATATTTTATCCATCATGACAGAGAAATTTTGAAAACACTTGCTGTTTAGTTAGATTTAGATAGAATGATCAGTAATAAGCATGGTGTAACATTTTTAAATATTTGTATCTCTAATGTTTCAGAAATATAAATGTCAGTTTGGGAAATAGATTTTATAGCCAGTCTGTTTCATATAGTGGAAGTTTTAACACAGTCAATCCTGTGTTATGCTACATTTAAGATATATGCGAAAGGGGCTGAACTTACAATAAACTTATACACACACACGCGCGCTCTTGTTGGCAAAAGAAAGCAGTCCCAAGTCCATAGTAATTACATCATATACATGGCTCCCTACATCCCCCCCAAAAAAATAAACCCCAATAAACGTAAAACTAATTATAAGCTTATCATAATGTTTGTGTAAACATGTTTCATGTACATGAAAAACATTTCAGACACTATAAAATCCACCAATATTCCTTATAAATGTCATGGTGATGGAGTTGCCTGCAACACAGTCTATTAGATCAATAGACTTATAGTGCTAGGCAACAGTGTGGAGACTTTATTTTTGGTTGAAATTTTTTCCCGGTCCTCACACAATTTATTTTAAGTCCTAAATCAATTGGCTGGCTCCAATTTTCATGACTATGTAAAGTATACAGCCATATTATTGGATGAAGTCAAAATAAAATATAGTTGAGCTTGACTAAGTACTATGGTGGCTGATGTCCTAGAAACACTCAAGTGAAATAATGAGCATAATGCCATTGAGAAGTAAAAAATAGTGTTCCCTTGTCTTTATGAATTTTCTCTCTTAGGCTACTAAGATTGTGTTTAACAAATTACTGTACTTTTTGGTGTCCTTGATGCTAGAAAAAGTAATTTACCTTTTGCCATTCCTTTTCACTGGCAAAATCAGACATAATGCAACTCTACTACCCATTTTAATATTACTGACACAGCAAAGTCTAGAAATGAGACTTCTGGTGCTTTGACAGCATGTAGTGCATTAAGAATTTTACTCAAATAAGATAGCTTTGATAGGGTTATTAAATGACTCACAAAAAAGGTAAACATAGAAAGACTAATCCAGCTCTGGGCTTGGCATTCAGTTTCTGTCTCTCCCCTCTTGGTTTTATCCTGATAACAGAGGGGCAAATCTTCCAGCAGCCCAAATCACTGTTACCAGCTTTACACGATGGCATTCAATGACGATATTTGCACGACCTAATGCTGATTGCATTAATTAGAATCCTAAGTTGCTTTGATTAAGTCTCCTCATTGCATTTACTCTCAATCAAAAATGTAAATGTGCACCTTTTCAGTGTTTATTAATGTGAGAAAAAGCTAAACATTTAAGGAGATGAAAACGGAAACTCTGGACGTCCTTGTTTTCCTGTGTCTTTAATAACTACTGAAAGTGTTTGGGCTGCTCAGGTGCTTCCTGGCCACTTATTAAAGTGTCCTTTGTCATGTTTCCTATGAGAAGATTTGGAAATCATTGCTCACGTGTAAAATGAACAGCCTGCCTATCTTGCTGTATGAGATAGATTGCATCGCATGGTCAGAAGAGTGATGCATATTGTGCTTCTTTTATTTCTTGGCTTTTGATATAATGACAAACTTCACTTGGCTTTTAAAAATGATCTTTACTTCAATTAAAGCTTTTGTGTGAAACTCAAATATTTTTTGAAACGCTATCATGCTTAATAAATCCTCATGCCATGTAGGGTAGGGACTGGCAAACTTCTTTTCTGTAAAAGGCCAGACAGTAAATGCTTAAGACCTTGAGGGCTCACAGTCTCTGTCACCACTACTCAATTCTGCCCTCTGGGTAGGAAAGCAACTATAAACAATAGTAAGCAAATGGGTATGGCTGTACTCCAAAAAACTTCACTTACAAGAACAGGCCGTGGCCAAATTTGGCCTGCAGGCCACAGATTGCCCACCCTGCATCTGAGGCATCAGTATTTAAACAGATGTTAATCGGATGCTCAGAAGAACATGAGAGTTGCTCCACCTTGAAGAGTCTATCTTCCCAGACCAGTGGGGCCCTGCCTGGGAATCCACCTGCTGCATCACAGAATATCATTGCAGCCCAAGCTTCCCCTACCAAAACCTTGAGATTTCACCACCTGTGGATTTGCCCATATTTTCACAAATTTTGACTAAAAGAAAATTGGTCAAAAAAGTTAAACAGAACCAGATTTTTCTCTGAACTGTCTTTCACTGGAGTCAGAACATCAGACCCTTAGTTATTATGCATGGTAATGTATGTGGTCACTGAGGATGTGGCTCAGTGCTATTTGGGAACAATAATAATTTTGCTTTATCTGTTTTCTGGAAGGAGTATTTCTAAGAATGCCGCAGAATTCTGAGTTTCTAAACATGCTGATTTGTCCCTTCTTCCCTCATGCCCCACTCTCATTCTACAACCCAGACAGCATTATTGAAGGATTCACTTTGAGTGTTTGTTTCTAAATAAGAAACAATGACTATATATTTTAAGAATTCAATGACTTTCTTCTGGTGCTATCGAGTTTGCCCCTTATGACTGATGCAATCTCAGTAAATTATTTTGGTTATTACCTGCCCGCAAAGCATAGGCTCACTAACAGACCCAATACTACTTCTCGATCCTCTGATATGTTAGTGTTGAAGATGTGTGACTGGAAGACAATGTATTTGTGTTATTCTAGGAAAATTTTTATGAATTATTATGATGATATACACTATTCCAAAATATACATCTTTCTTTCTTTCTTTCTTTCTTTCTTTCTTTCTTTCTTTCTTTCTTTCTTTCTTTCTTTCTTTTTCTTTCTTTCATAGGCTCCATGCCCAGTGTGGAGCCTAACCCAGGGCTTGAACTCATGACCCTGGGATCAAGACCTGAGCTGAGATTAAGAGCCAGATGATTAACCAACTAAGCTACCCAGGTGCCCTTAAAATATAAATGTTTCTTCATTAAGAGTCACAAGGATCTGTTGATTATCATTGCTAGTTGACCCTGTATTATGAGATTTCAGTAGAACAATTTTTTTTTGTGGTTCCAAAAGATTAGAAGACTAGTAAGGGATATATGATGAAACAGGTTATATTTTGTTTGGAGAGTGTCAGTTTACCATTTATTTTTCTTTCTTTCTATCTTTTCTTTAGCTGCTGATGGCAAGTGAATTTAGAGGATGGGGAGTATATTTGTAACTCCCACTTTCCTGATATAAAGACATATGTTGGGAATATTAATAATGTCAGTAAAGGTCAAGAGTATTTGCATACCATCTGCATGCAGTTCTCCCCAAGGCTGGGCCATGAGAAAATGAAAAAGAGATAGTCTCAAAGGATGTGGGTGGATATAATGTGACTTGGACCCGGGGTGCTGGGACACTACCCATGCCACGGTAGCAGATCCTGACTCCCTCCTCATTTAACAGATTTGAGGTAGGAGAGAAAGAGGTGAATGTGCATAAAATGTGTTCACTCAGAGAGTCTCTCCAGATTATGATTCCAGCTCCCCCAAACATGTCCCCAAAAGATAAGTTCCATATGCTCTGCTGGTTACTGCTGCAGGGTGAAGAGTTGCTTTATCTCTGATCTGAAATCATGTTTCTGAGGAAGTGGGTAAGAGGCAGGCAGCCCCTCAGGAGGACTCCGGCTGTGTTGGAACTGCTGAACTAACATTATGGGTTCCCTTTCATTCTAGAGCTGGATAAGCAATTCATGAAGAGATACTAACTCATCAGGAATGGCAGGTAGCTACATTTCTTACTTCTGACTTCTTAAAGAAGAATCAAGAGTCTACCTCAAGCCTGGCATTTTGTTAAACTGAGATATAAGGTGACCTTGGTCTCTAAATTAACAGTGTAATGTTAAAGCCTGAATTCATCATAAAACAACAGCACTCCTCCCCACAATTTCAAATTTGAGGCTAACTTCCCATACCAAAGCTGGTACAGACTCAGGAGGATGAAAACTTTACTGCAGGGCAGCCAGAGGTTAAAACCAAAGGGCCACATAGACATTGTGAGGAATCAACAAAGCATATCCTTGTGGTTGATAACTTTATAACATACTTTATAACATAATTAGATTAAAAATGTATACCTATAAAAATAATAAGAGAGTAATAGTAAGGTTTATTGGAGTACGTATGAGACAGAGTGGCAATCTCTGTGTACAAATGCTAGACCAAATACAGTAGTACCAAAATAATTCAATTTAAGGAAAACCATCTGTGGCACGGGCATAGCATTAGAAGGTATTAGGAAAAGTGAAAGTTTAGAAATGATAAACTCAATGTGAAATAATAGTATGAAATGTAGGTACCTGTAGTACCCGTGTTAAGACTATAATAAAGATTATATGACTTACACATAGCATTTGAAAAAATATGTACATATTTACACTTATATATTTTTTAATTCAAATGTTTCCATGACCTAATCTAATATCCAGAGTGTCAGTCATAGGAAAACAAATTGTAATACAAGGAAATATGACATTTATTTGAAGTAGAATATGTCTCTGTAGAGAGAAGGTAGTGTAAAAGAAAATGCAGTCTACATTTAAGCATGTTTCTCAATATTTACTCCCCCTTTAATATTTCATTAAACCTAGAAGCAAACAAAGACAAAGAAAAACTACTGAAGAATATAACTATTTCATGTGGTTTGGAATATCATGAGGAAATAAACTTATCTCAAAATAAACAGAGATGATGCACAGAGAAATCACGTGTCAAATTTTTACCCAACATTGAAAATCACAGTGAACTGAGAGAATTATAGAGGTCCAGCCCCAGAAAATCTTTTCCTTGGATATCTAAGTCTCTAGATGGGTGTCCTTTTCTGGAAGGTTTCAAGGGTTGCTATTTATTTTAGAATAGTGTATATCATCATAAACAAAATTATGGAAAATTTTAATTCCTATACATTTATATAAAGAACAAATAATTCCAAAAGATCTAATCCCATAATAAAAAACAAACTATACCAATTTCATAATCATCAATTAAACAAGTATATAACTACTATAAATTCAACCACAATTAAACATAAAAAATCAATAACTACAAAAAATTAATAAATCAAAAAAAAATTAAATAACAGTTATCACATATAATAAATAATTAACACACAAAAAAATCCCTATAAAATAATTAAACAATTATAATAAAAATATTTGACTACATAAATAAAATATTATAACAAACTCTATACAATAAAAATTCTTAAAAAATTACCTTTCACTAAAAACCACAATAATATACCATAAAACAATCACTATACACATCCCAAAACTCAAATAAAACTTTCACATTACTTAATATCATTCATCTACATTGTTGTTCGAAGGAATTTGTATATTCTTAATTCTGTAAGTGTGTGTGTCCTAGGATATATGAGAGTTTGTAGATTGCTGATGAATGGTATACAGGAGATATTTGTAATCCCCTCAATTACATAATTCAAACCAACAACAACAATATTTTTCCAGATTTATGTGTAAGTATATCCCCGATCAATTATTAAGCCTCTGACATATATACGAATGATGTTAGATGAGTTTCTTCGCAACCAAGTTGATCATGAACAACTAAAAGTGCTAGATATGACGCACTGTAGTCGCGAGCGAGATATATTATTTTCCAGGGTTAACAATAATCCCAAGCGTGTTTTGTTCAGACATCCTCTGTCTCACATGATTATCATAAAAGTGCTAGAGGTTTATATGAAAAGAATCTCATTTCCGTGAGAAGCTACTTCTCTGTTTGAGAATGTGACCAGTGGGGAAAAAGGGTGAGAGTGTAGACTCTCAAGAAGTCCCTGGTTTAGAGACGTCTGTCGTGCTTGAAATGTTAGTCTAGTTGCGCTTATCCTTCAGTGAGGGAGTATCGCCTTTGTGTTGAGTAGATGGAAAAGTCTATCGCATAGTTCGACATATTGGTTAATCTTTATGCTTGTATGTTATATATGTGAGTGGAGTTGGGAGGTTGTCTAGAAATTGTCGTGTAAATCGTTATCAATAGCTGGCAGATATTATTTTGCGTCTCAGACATGTATATATCTCTGTGGTGTCTGTATATGGTACAGATCTCGCTTGTGAGGAAAATTCGCTAAGTATTGAGTCAAGGAGTTGTCTCCAAACAACGTGTGAAATGATAGCGGGTGTTGGAGGTATGGTCTGTAGATTTGTCTCGTGTATTGTTAGCTCTGCGCAGGCGATCAGCAAGTGATGGGATGGCAGCCTGACTAGGCACACAAGAGTGCCCTCTTAGGTTTGAAAATTTGCTATGCATAATCTCAAATAAAAGTCAGCTGATAAAATTTTCCAAGTCAGAGAGTTCTTATTTGTACAATGGAGAACCTTAAGGTTATAAAAAATAGTGAAAGGGAATAAAGGGGAAAGGAGAAAAATGAGTGGGAAATATCAGAAAGGGAGACAGAACATGAGAGACTCCTAACTCTGGGAAACGAACAAGGGGTGGTGGAAGGGGAGGTGGGCGGGGGGTGGGGGTGACTGGGTGACGGGCGCTGGGGGGGCACGTGATGGGATGAGCACTGGGTGTTATTCTATATGTTGGCAAATTGAGCGCCAATAAAAAATAAATTTATAAAAAAATATTTCAGCCTTTCCAAACGAGCTGGGTTTTGCTGACTGACTTTCAGAAGTTAGTAACTATTTGAATATTAGCATTCTTTAAGCCTACATTGGGCACATTTCCAAGAATTGCCACCTCTAAAATACTCTATCAGCCTGATATATTAGGATGGCTGTACTTAAAAAAATATCTTAGGAATTTGGATAGTGTAGTAATTAGATAGAAGACACTGGATTAAAGCTCTTTTCCATATGCCCTAATCTTTACCACTTATTTTTTTTTCTTTTGGCCCTGAGGGAATGAAGCAAAACTGACCATCCTGAGGTAGTCTCCACTGTACCTAGCAGAGTCACCGACTATCTCAGTTTTGCCTGGGACTGAGTGGGTCCCTGGAATGTGTGATTTTGGGGCTAAAAGTTGGAGGTTCTGAGGCAAACCAGGACAAGTTGGTCACTGTTAGAGAACAATAAACAATGACCAAAAATCCAGGTGCCAAAGATGTGGGGATAGAGAAAATGGTGAAAAAGGAAAAGGAAAGAGAGTAAGAAGGTAGGAGTATGTATCACCCTAAATGACTGTAAGTGTCAGGGTTGAACAACTATTAGCTCTGAACCATAGTCCCACTTGACCAGGGAATACTGTTAAAGCTTCTTTTGGGGTTCAATCTACCAAGCAAAACAACAATTTCCATGAACCTAAAGACCTTTGAGCAGAAATTCTCAGGAGACAAGTCTCTGTCCCAAGTTGATTTACTGGCAAAGAAGTAAATTCCCAGATCAAGTGGGAATGACACGGTGTACCTGAGTCTTTCATAGGGAGGAACACCTCTGTCAGAAGGTACTCAGATTAGGAAAACATGAAAAAGATCTATGTACTGATAAAGTGTCAAGTCAACTACTGTAGATACCCATTCAGAGAAATGATAGAATATTTAAGAATTTTAGAAGTAAGTAGCATTAGGGACTTATCTTGTCAACATGAAGCATCTTAATATTTACATAGATGATTTTTTAAAAATATTGCCTCAAGATGTCAGAGTTTTATAATAAGAGTTCCCCTACCAAAATTACAGAGTGGGTTCCTTCTGCCCAGAGCTTCTGAGCAAAATGAGAATAGAGATCACATCATTTCTGATTTGGAAAATGAATCGGTTTTGACAATCTGCCATCACAGACTGACTTCTTACTCATGGTTACCTTTTTCAATGGAAAAATCAGCTTTTACTTCCTCCCAAAATGAATGATTTAAATTTATACATAAAAAAATTCAACCAACTCAACCTGTTCCATTAGTGTTCTGATTTGGTTGAGTCTTCTTTCTCCCCTCTGTTCCCATTCCTAATAGAATTGAGTCGTTTATTTTGACCAAGATATATACAGCCTGGTTTGTACAGACACCAAATACTGTACCAAATCAGGGAGAAGAGTGAGGGGGAAATGTAGATGGACCTCTTATGCCAGACTGTGTGATAAGTAACTCTTATGCATGGGGTTTCTATAGGACTACCGAGTGAACATTTTTCTGAGACAACAGTGGAATGATTCACGGCTGGCATATAGCGAGTACCCTGATGATTCCCTGGACTTGGACCCATCCATGCTGGACTCCATTTGGAAACCAGATTTATTTTTTGCCAATGAGAAGGGTGCCAACTTCCATGATGTCACCACTGACAACAAATTGCTTCGAATTTCAAAAAATGGCAAAGTACTCTACAGTATCAGGTAAGCTTCTGTTGGCTGCACCTATTCACTTCTCCATTTTTTTCCTGACCTAGAGCTGCCTGATTCTGGAGGGTAAGATGTATATAAATATTTAACTTTTGTGGTCTCTTCGTTGTCATCTGAATCTTAAAGTTGGTGAGAACGCCAGAGGTTCCCAAGGTCTCAGAAGTGTAATTCTTCACAACAAAAATATATTTGGGGGAAAGAGAATATATATATTTGGTAAGATGATGAATATATATATTTGGTAAGAATATATATATTTGGTAAGAGAATATATATATTTGGTAAGATTTGGTGGATATCATGTAAATACCTGCATACATGGAATTTTGATTGCTTCAGTAAAAGAAGTACAGGCCTTTAGTTCAATTAATCATCAGGCATAATGTATATTATCCATTTCAAATAATTTTGCCATTCTATAACATGGAACCACATATAAAAAAACATTCAATGGCTCAGTATGGTCACTGACAGCATATTTTGGGCTACATGAGTGAAAAACTAGTTCTAATCTCAGATCTGCTTCTAACTAAACATTTAACCTTGATCTCTTAACTTTTCCTAGGTTTGAGCTTGGGAGTGACAAATCTCAGGATTTTTGCTCCACAATCTTTATCATTCCAACCTGAAAATTATGTCTCTCTTTTCTGAACTCTAGTTTCTCTGTGAATCTGTAAGGCTCTTGTTTCATCCTACCTCATATTTTGGATATTTCTGTATATAAATTTAGCATAAGAACATGGAACTTTGGAATCACATAATCTAGAATCAAATCCAAACTTTGCCATTAACTTATGTAACTTACATATAACCCTCAGTTACCTAATTTTATATATAATATAAATATACATAATATATAACATATAATAACCCTCAGTTACCTAACTGTGAAATGGGAAACACTATATTTATTTCTAAATATTCTTGTGAGAATGAATGATATAGAGGAGAGGTCAGCAATTATTTTCTGTAAAGGTCCAGACAGTAAGTACTTCAGCTTTGTAGGCCAGACTGTCTCAACGCTGTCACAACTACTCAACTCTACCATTGTAGCACAAGCACAGCCATAGACAGTACTCAATTGACTGTTCCTGTGCTTCAATAAAATTTTATTTATACAAACAGGAGGTAGCTAGATTTGGCCGTTTGGCCATAATTTGCCAATATCTCACACAGAATATATAAAAACACTTGCCATAGTACCTGACACAGTATATGTGCTCAATAAATGAAATGATGGCTGTCCGTATTTTAAAGTTAACATGCTTTCTCAATAGTAAGCTCTTTAAAGCCAAGACATTTGGATTTTGCACCTTCTATAACTCTACCCAAAGGTCCAAGAGAATGTATATGAGAGATAATAATACATTAAATAAATATTGACATTTTAAAGATCCTTTGTAGTATTTCCCCTTTCTCTCCAATCTTATTACAAAAGAAAATAGGCAGCTTGTATCCTTGCAAATAATTTTCAAAAGTCTGTAGAGTCGCTACCATCAAAACCTCATTTCACAACTCTATATACAATTTAGGTCTGTACCATACATTCCACTCCTGACCGAGTGATTTCAGTTTGCTGATGGCTAACAGACCCAGTGTCTTGCGGAATGAAAGAGGTTGCTCATTTATAAAAACTGGCAAAGTCACTGCTTACATGAAAACCAGGAAACTTCCTCCACTTTATTTTTAAGGAATTCTACTTTTATTTTTATAAAAATTTTAAGGAAACACAGAATATTTCACATGATGATGTGTTTGGTGTAAGATGCAGTACTGGGCACAACCCAAGTTGATGTGACCTGATGAAATGGGACATATGTGGAGCATGGTGCTAGGGAGGAGAGTTATAAAAAGCAGCACAGGGTATCAGCTGCTCCAGCTAGCCCCCTGGGCCTTGGGTGGCATTTGCTCTAGTAAATACCTGGCATTGTGCACTGCTGAAATAAAACCAGGTTTCTTTTCTTTTGTTCTATGAAGGCCTTTCCATTCTAGAGCCATGAAGAACATAATGTTCCCCAGACCTAGATCCAGAGGCAATTCTTCTCTCATCCCCAGTGTAGCATATTATAAGCTCTGAAACACCCTGACAATTGTTTTGGATTAGGTAGAGTTTGTCCTGTAGCAGGCTGGTTTAGACTTTTCCTTCATTATAGGTATTCTACGAAATTAGAGGAAAGATCCTTGGTGTAGAACCAGGCATGTCATTTTAGAGAAACAAAACTCTTGGCAGATTTGAACTACAGGAATCTAATTATTTGCCTGGAAGGATTTTCAATGAGCCAGACACTGTGCTGGGCCTAGAGATCCAGAACTGAGTAAGATAGGGTTCCTGCTCTGGAAGGGCTCCAGTCAAACAAGGCAAGCAGGTATAAGGTAAATTAAGTAATAGGAATAAATGAGGAACAAGGAAAAGAAAAGTGGCTCTAACTTTGCAAGTGAATGTATGACTTAAATAGTTAGAATATAGGGGCTGGCACGTACATGTCTGTTCGCCTCAGTCACTGGACTAATTTAACTAAAGGGCAAGGAGTAATTAGTGCTAATTATGCCCAGCTGCAGGTCCAACTCAAGTTTAAGGCCAAGCAGGTGATGTCTAAAAGGTGCTGAAAAGATTCCTGCTGATGTTGCATTAGGAAGGATTTTCCCTCTACTCTCAGGTTTACAAAGCAAATACACCTAGAAGAGGGAATCCAGTGACTTAAATTCATACTAAGCTGTAGGGAGCTGATATGAAATTTTCCTTTTGATAGTACATTTGATGCCTCTGAAGAATAGTGAGAATGAAAAAGTTGGATGCCTGAGACAAGAAATCAGGATGAAGAGGGTTAAGAAAGCTACAAGGAAGGGGCACAACAGAAGTACCAAAGATAAATTAATAAATTGCCTCTACCCTACATATTTAAATAATTACTTAAATATTGGTTCACTTGAAAAAAATAATGTTCTGTGGTGATGTTTTATATTTGCATTTTCTGAACCTAAAACAAACAGATGATAACATTTCATCCACAAACAAATCCAAACTTTCTTAGCTTTGCAGGAGCAGAAGTAAAATTAACTCCTCAAGGAAACCAAAACCTAAGGCTTTGATGGTCAAACAGAACACGAAGAGAACTATGTGGTCCATTTATTTCATAACAATCAAAGTCACATTCCTGAGAAGTTTCCCAAAAGGCAGCAGTTTAAAAAAGGAGGGGATAATAGACCAGAACTCTACAAGTGTCCTGCAGCTCAAACACTTGGAGTACTTTAGTAAAATTCAAAACGAATCTTTTATTTATTTTTTTAAAGATTTTTATTTATTTGAGAGAGAGGCAGCATAAGAGAGACAAGCAGTGGAGAGGGAGAAGCAGGCTGCCCATCGAGCAGGGAGCCTGATGCAGGGCTGGATCCCAGGACCCTGGGATCATGACCTGAGCCAAAGGCAGCCACTTAACTGACTGAGCCACCCACATGCTCCCAAACAAATCTTTTAAATAGGAACCAAAGGTGTTGGCTCGTTGCAAGAAAATTTCTATCCAGTGTGGCAGGACACAGTTTTTGCTGATGAAAAGTGTCAGATCTATTTTTGTCCACTTCTCTTCTGATTTTTTCTTTAATATTCACTTCCCTAATATGTTTAATCTTACTCTGTTTTCTTTTTAAGTTTTTCGTTGACACACTCCATTAAGTATTGATAATCCCTGACCAAAGTATAAACGACACACATCTTGCTTTTTGTACATTCCCTTCAGAGACAGTCAAATTCCAAATTCATATTACTTAAAAAGGTCTGAATTCATAGTGGAATAGTGAGGTAAGCCTCGAGTATTGTACATATTATTGCTCAAACAATATTTGTTGGATTGAATATAATGGATTGTAATAAAATTCAGGGTACCATAGCATATGGTGTGCAATATGAAAGAAAAAAGGACAAGGTATTTTTGGAGAGGAGCAGCTTGTCTCACTTGTCCACAATGTCTTTGCTAATATTTGTTTTCTTCCTTTACTTTCCATCGCTTCTGAGAATTTTCTGCCAGCATTCTGACTTTCATAGAAGCATAGGATTACTTTTTTATATTGAAGGTATTACGCTACAAAATAATCTCATCCAACACCCTTGTTTTACCAATGAGGAAGTGACTTCTTTCAGCAAGTTAGGTGAGGTAAAACAATGGAGCCCATAAATAGGAAACCTAGCCAAAAATCAAAGTTCTTGACTTATATTTCAATGCTATCATCTCCTACCCCACATTAATTCTTCATTTGCCCCAACTTAAGTCCAAAGAAACAAATAAATACAATTTGAAAGACATGTCATTTTGAAACAAGCCTTTTGGGACTCATTTTTCAAAGAACTATGAGAGGAAGAATGTAAGATTTAAGATGAGAACAGAAAGTATCTTCAGATTTTGCAAATGTCTGAAAAGACTGTTTAAAGTCAGAGTGCAACAAGTGACTATCAGGTCAAGGTGCAACAATTTCAAGATTTATTTGATAGTTTTTTTTAAGATTTATGTATTTACTTATTCAAGAGACACAAAGAGAGAGAGACATAGGCAGAGAGAGAAGCAGGCTCCATACAGGAAGCCCGATGTAGGACTTGATCCTGGGACTCAGGGATCACACCTGGAGCCAAAGGCAGACGCTCAACTGCTGAGCCACCCAGGTGCCCCTATTTGATAGTTTTATACAGCATATGTTGCTTATATAGCATGTCGACTTTCTGAAAAATTTTACTATCCCAGGGATGAAAGGGCTGAAGAGAATCATTAAGGGTATTAAGTCAACTTCCTTACCTTCAGGCAACCTGTTGAGAACTCCTGCTAGTTTTAAAAACCTTCAGAGAAGGAGACTTTATATTCTCTCTTTGGATCCTTCAATAAGTTACTCTAGCATTATGCAGAAATTCTTTCTTATATAACTTAAATCACAGTTGCTACAACTTGAATCAGTAGCTTTTTCCTACATTTGTTAACGTGATCAACAAATGGCTACCATTTTTGGAAGAA